ATTTGGAATTTCTCTATGGTTTATAATGGCAATAATTATTAATTACACAGTGATAACTAAATCGTCTGACATAGAAAAAAATATAAACGAAACTGAAGTATTTTATTATGAAATTCAACCGGAACTTTTTAATTGGACAAATGGTAAGTCTAGCCTTGACTAAAGTCATGATAAAAAATAATATTAATATTTGTAAATGTTGAATATTTAAGATATTACTTAGGGGCAGATCCAAAATTTTTTCAAGAGAAGAGTGTAAACAATTTCTAGACGTCAAAATTAATTTTTAGGCAATTTTATAATTATAAAGGCTGTTATTATTAGGCGATGATAGTTCAAGGAGAAAGCGCACACCCCTTGTATTTACCTCTGGATCCGTCACTTATATTACTTAATATTTGAGCATATATACAAAGTGGCGGATTTTCAATATTTTTCTGGACGAGGTCCTAAAGAATAAAATTTAATCCACATATTAAATATTATTTAATATAACACTTAAGAATTTAAAAATATTGGTTTCGGGGGCTCTAGATCTCCTTACTTACTGTATGTACATAATAATTTTATATTTGTAGGAATTGATGGTAATATGTTTAATTACACACCTTCATTACAAAATTATCCAGATTTACCATATTGGATACATTATAAATTTAAAGAAAAAAATAAATTCGGATATATTTATGGTACTCCACCTATTTCATCTGAAAATCAAATCAAGGTAATTACAAGAATCTAAACAATGACTTTTTTAAAATGGGTGAAAGTATTAGATCCTAATATAAAGTGGAGGATTTTCAAAATTTTTTGTAATTCCCCTNGGAGGATTTTCAAAATTGTTTGTAATTCCCCTGAAGATTAATATGTTTAAGAAATATTAGAATTTGTTAACGATATCGATATCGCCGACTGTTTTCATTTTCCCTACAATATCGATTATCTTTGAAATATCGCAATAATCAAAAATACATTTTTAATAAAAAAATTGTTTGAATTTTATTTTTTTAAGTAAAAA